CTTGCATATTATTCTAGAAATCAACTTAACACTATTGGTCAGGTGTGTCATGTATACAGTTGGTATTTAAGAAATGTTTCTTTGATGCATAACCCCTGAGTCTTGGGAGGCATGCCTGGATGGGTGAATGGACATACCTTGGGTGCTCACGTCTTTACTTACTACATTTGTTTTCCAGAGTCTCTCTTACCAGAATGAAGAGCGGCCTAGAGAAATCTAAATTATGTTGACAGAAGTTCCCAGAAAGTACCTGCACCTTGAAACTGAACTTTCTGCAAGGTTAATCAACTCAGCAGGACTTCAGTGATCGTGCAGAATTTGAAACGTTGCAGTTGCAGAACCCATTTAGAGCCTAATTACCAACTATCTTTCGCTCGTAAATAGCCACTCCTTGCCCACCTCTGTTTCTAATCTAACATCCAGTGACTAACAAATAAAAACCCTTTTAGAATGTGTTATCCTAGCAGACTACCTGGTCTCACCAATCAAAAAACTAAGAATGTCATCAGATAGCATCTGAGACCTATAGTAGACGCCCCCCTTTGCTGTGACCTGCCTCTGAATGTATCCTCCAATGTATTTGAAAAGTCTCTTGATTTATGACTTCCCTTTGTTCTGTTACTATAAAAATACAAGGCAACTGTTACCACGCTGGAGCATGGAATTTGGGGTACCCTGAATCCTGGGTCATTCCTGGTCATAGTCAGTCGTTTGGCTCTAGAATAAACGGTCCCTTATTCCCTTTGAGGTGAGAGTTATGGTTTTGCATTAACACCACCTTTTCTCCAGCCGCACTCCAGTGGGGAGCCTTAGCTCCTGGGATAAGATTTTTCCCTGTCCTTGACCCTTACCCAAGTCCATGTGTGGCAGCTCGGGAATGTCCCTCATGATGACCAGGAAGTAGAGTCGGAGTCCCCGGTAGGCCTGGAGGAGCAGGAGACAGACGTCCCGGTGCCACTTGTGCGCATGCTGAATGCAGTTCTCGGAGGGGACATAGAAGCTTCCCTGCTGAGACAGAAGGACGAGGCTGAGGAGTGTGTGCCTTCCTGGGGCAGCACGGGACTCCTACCCTCCACCTACCCATGACAACATTCACGGAAATATGTGGAGCTTCAGGATGGTAAGCCTGCTTTTAGAAAAAAAGAGAAAAAAGATGATACCAGGACGAAGGTAACTGGGGCTTAGTCTCTTCTTAATCCCACCACATGGAAAAACCATGATGGGCCATGCCTCTGTTTTATCATTATGATACTAATAATACTAATGACACTATTAAAGACGACAATAACAAATGATGAAGAAGCAAATGCAGATGATCATTCCCTGATCTGACTAAGGTCTGTGACCACAGAGAACTGCCCACTTAGAAGCCCCTTCCCCTTCCTGCTATAGGATGCACAGCAGAAGAGATTGGGAGACAAAAGAAGGATCCTTCATATGGGGGTAAGAAATTTAGAAAGACCCTTGGAACAACTGCATGAGCACTAGATTGTGCTAAAAGGGGGAGAATGAAACTGTCCTGCAAATTAGTGAGAAAGGGTGAGGTTGAGCTCTCAGTGCTGATACGCCTCACTCCTGGGTGCTCTGAGCTGAGCACAGAGCCTCAGAATGCTCTGCACACTAGATTTTGTTTGAGACTGAGGAATAGAGTCTGCTGATAGAAGTAAAAAGTAGTTTGTCTAACAAAGAGAAGATGACTAAGTCTACAAAGGACCCAGACATGGTGGAAAAAAAAGAAATAATACAGTTTCGTGTCTCTTCCCAATCTAAAAGGAAAGCATGTTCCAGAAAAAAAATGCAGGAGAGATTTGTTCCGAGAACAGAGAAAGGAATCATGGGGCAGGATAGTGGGATGTGGAGGGCACTAAGGAGGGCACAGGAACAGCCAGTGTTGGTGACACCTGCTCATTCATCTGTCCCCGGTCAGCCTCAATGGGAGGGAGCATTGGCCCTTCATGGTCCAGGCCTGCCTTGCCTCTGTCCTGCAGGAGGAGTCAGCTGAGTTGGTGGAGCCACCCTCTTGGCTTTTATGTGTGGGTCTGCGTGGTTGTGGCTCATGACAGCACCTGCCTTTCTAGTTTCTCTTCTTTCTTGCTGCCTATGAGGGCTGAATTGGCCCAGTGGGAACAGGACAGGCTTAATGGGGGTCAACACCTACCCATACATCATCAGTAGTCAATGGTGGATAAGATGGTGTTCATTCAGACCTTCTTATCTTGATAACTGGGTCATGTGGAATGAAAGGCACTACACATTAGGAAATCTGAATGCAAGTCTCAGGTATGTATCACTCATACCTGAGACCATTTTAGTTAGGTAAGTTCTCCAGGACAGAAATTCTGAGCTGTGTAGGAGGAAGAAAGCATAGACAAATAGACAAAGGACTGGAATTTCTCTGTCATACAGTAACTGCAGAGTCCTCACACATACCGTGGAGGCTCTGGACCTGTAAAGATGCATAGACTCAGGACAAAAGAAAAGTCTTCACACTCATCAGTCTTGGTTATGAGCCTAGGGAGGAGACCTGACCTTGGACAAGTAGCTTTCTTTAGATAAACAATCAACAGTTGGCCTCCCACATCCCTGGTATGGGAGGCAAGGGTGTCTCAGGCCTAAGGCAGGATCTTGGCAGAACACTCCAAATCTACTAGAGGGACTTTTTGCTACAACCTCTATTTCCCAGGGTCTTGATTTTCTGAGCTCTGCAACACTGCCTTATATTATGATGTTGCACAGTCTTTCCAATTTGAACTTAAAAGAGGCATTTTACAACATTTGGTATCAAGATATTCATCCTGAAAATTCAGCTCAGTAGAATGCTTCTGTTCACACAGCCCTTGGGGTCATCTGTGTGTTCCTGTTTCCATTCCGTCCTACATCTGTGTGTTCCTGTTTCCATTCCCTCCCACATCTGTGTGGTCCTGTTTCTCATCTCTCCTACTACATGCATGCTGAATGCATAGAAGCCATTGCTTGTGCACAGCACAGAGTGTCAGACTCTCCATGCCCACAGAGCAGAAAGGAAGCCACTTCTATGGCCCATGGAGACAACCCCACTGTGTGATTTCATTTGACCTCAACAAGTACCATGGACAGCGCACATTCTCATTTTGCTGTAGGAAGCAGGATACAGATACGGAAAGCAATAAAACAGTAAATATTCAGTACCATCAAACATAATGTCCCATTACCCTCAAGTCCAATAAAATTCCTGTAAATCCTCTAAAACACATCTATACACATAAATGCATACATATAGGTGTACTTACTACATATATTTTTAAAAGAGCATGGACATATGCATAACTTAAAGATTTCTATCGATATTTCTGCTTTTCCTTTTATCACAATGTGTCTTAGAATTCTTTTGGATCAGGCCAAAGCCTAAGCCATAAGAACACTTATTTACATTTTATAGATCAAAATACTGGGGCTCAAAGAACTAAAGGGCTCAGGTCAGTCTGCTTCCCAGTGGCAGAAATGGCTCTTAAAGTTAATGTTGAAGCAAGGCCTCCCTTCCTCAACAGAACCTTCCCCTCTGCCCCCTGGAGCCATGCCTGGCGAGAACAGATGCTCGGCAGAGGTCTGCTTGCTTTGACAAAGGCATTCATTTAAGCCCTGCACTGTTGGCATTGCTGTGACTAAGTAGGAATGAAAGCAGAAAGGGGATTACAAAGGCATCAAACCCAGGTTTCCCTGTCTGCTTCCTCAGTGCTGAGAATTCAGCTTTCTACCCAACCTGCTGTGCATAACTCCATCGTCTTATCATGGGCTCTTTGTGCAAAGCATTTCCAGACCCCAAAAAGACCAAAGAATGTATGAAGTCTGTTAAGTTTGACTCTAATTTTATCTTTAAATTAAAAACTGTATACATGTATACAATGCACTGTGATTGCATTCACCTTCCATTATCTGGGACTCCTGCTGACTCTTTCTTCCAAACTTGTCTCCTCCTACCTTCAGTGATCCTTTTTTTTCCCTTAGAAATTTTATTCCGCAAGCTCTATGCATGTAGTCATAGGTAATGTTTCCCTGACCATGGGACATCTTTGTCACAGGATATTGAAGAGGAGAGGTTGGAAGGACTGTGGCAGCTGAAGGATGAGGAGGAGTGTGGTGACCTCTGTTTTTACCTTATGACATGACCCCGGCAATCAAGTTTGACTTTTAAAAGTAGATCTTAGTGTAATTGTATGTTTAAAGAAAGACAAAATTTTTCAGTGAATCTTCATAAGACATAACATTTTTAGTGACTCATTATGATTATGGAGATAGTAAAGAGTCAAATGCTAACCTATGCTATCCTGAAAAGTCTGTAGGTCATTATGTAAAAAAGATAACCTTTGTCCCTAAATTAAATGATAGTGTGACTTTTTGAAATTGAGTAATATAGCACAGAAAATCCCATTATCCAGCACTGTGGGCCTGCAGAGCCTTTGTCTATATAGAAAAGTCAGTGTCCCTCCATTAGAATTGCATGAAGTGGGATGCAAAGCTGACATTATCTCCACAGTATAAAAGAAAGGCACTCCAGAAATCTTCTTGTCAAGGTCTAGAATGAAAACTCTACGTAATGAAAGAGGAATCAAACAGGGCAGGCAGTACATGAACCCCACGCTGACCCGCTTGGCCGAGGCCCCATCTACAGCAGATGTACAATGTGAGGCAGCTGTCTCTCCCCTCCTATAGATGAACTACACTGAGTGTAGACGGGACATATTCACACAGGTAGGTAGAAGAAGCAAAGCAGAGTCTCGGTCGAGGCTACAGAGCAAACGGATGTAGATCTGAGTTTGAGTTTTTGCTTTAAAATTCTGTACCAATGTCACTTCAGCCAGGGTTCCTTCAATCTCAGCACTGCAGGTACGTCGTCTGTAAAGAGGGGGTGTCATGACACAGGCCTCACAAGACTGCTGTTAGAGAACAAATGAGGCCATTCAGGTAAATTATTCAGTGTCAGTCACTACTGGAAAGAGAGCTTACATGCACACATTCGCTGCATGACTCACGGACACAGGATAATACAGCTTAACTATCAACCATGACCCACCAACAGACCTAAGATGTTAAGTTTTGTCTTAACAGGTAGATACCCACTGATAGCTTGCAGACAAGTTATATATTTGTACATAGAACCTGGATTCAAGTAGGTCAGTTCAGTACCTTGCTTATGGATTAGCCTCTCATTAACCATGTGTTAAAGAGGATGGCATATAGGTAACTATTTACAAGGTGCTCATTAAGTTTTACTTTGTATAGCATTTATTACTTTCCAGGATATCTAAAAATGGAATAAAACTATGCTCACTCTTGATCTTACCTGTGTATGCATGTCTTTCAAATCTACTCTGGAACCTAATTCCAGCTAAGGGCTCCAGGTCTCTGAACTGCACAATCCTTTTATTTAACTTTTTGGGACTTTTGTACACGAGTACTGTTTTCACATCATTTCTGCCCTTCCCTCTCCTCCTTCCAACTTCTCCCAAGCCCCAGCTCCTACTTGAATTCCTGACGTCTTGTCATTTAATTATTATTTTATATGTGCACACATATTTAATGTTGCATGTATGTACACGTGTTTAGGGCTAACCACTTGGGATTGGATGGCCTATCAGGGCACTTGTCCCTACACAGAACACATCGCCCTTCTCTCAGCAGCCTGTAGCTCTCCATCTGGAGGTGTCACCTTGTGAAATTTCCCCCATCCACACTGGCATGTCAGCTGGTATTGTCATTATAGAGGTCTTGTTTATTCAAGCATACTGTTGTCATTTTATCATACAGCTTCCCTGTCACGTCTGGAAGACACACAACGCTGTGGCATCCTTCTGGTTGGGCATCTTGCTGTCCTTCAGAGATTTCTGAAACCAACTGATTCTGAAGCCCTTAGCTAACCTCCTTTTCTTTCCCTCTGGTCTTCATTAATGGATCCTAATTTGCAGACCGTTAAAGAAAGCCAGTAAGTTCTCCTAGACCTCTTTAGTACTTCCAGAACCTGCCACCAA